AGAGGTTAGAACTTTTTGAGTTATTTCTGATCTTTTCTTTCTTTCTTTCTTTCTTTCTTTCTTTCTTTCTTTCTTTCTTTCTTTCTTTCTTTCTTTCAACAATTGCTCCAGCCCTTCCTCAGACTTCTAGAAGCTGGTCACAGATAACTCTCTAGCATTGCACAATCCCGTGCCTTTCTCCATGTGCACATGAATGTGTGATTGTTCTAAAGTCTAAAACCAAAACTGAGAAGTGTAGTCATAAGCCTTCCATAGTATACATTCACAAATTCTGTGCATTGGTACCACTGAGGACAAGGAAACAAAAATCTAGTAGTGACTCACAGGAATCAGCATCAATTCCTTCAAATGCTGAACCCCTTTTTGAGACAATAAGCATCCATTCCATTATAAAACAGTGTTGTTTATCAAAGCTGTATATATTTTCTCAGGCTGACTATTGTAATGCACAGATGCCCTATCAAATCTAACACTTTAGTTTCATCTGCAGACATATCTGAACTTGTTTCAAAGAAGTTAAAGCAGATGTATTCATTCTATGTTTCATGAGGCTAACTGTACCCCAAGCCCATGAGTCAATAGAACAAACAATAGCACAATGGTAGAGCGCATCCTTTGGGTATGAAATGACCCTGTTTCCATCTCTGGCAATCCAGTTGAATGAATCAGGTAATAGTGAAGGGAAACCTCTCTGTCCTGGGAAAGTTATTGCCAATCAGACTGGCCATAATGAGCTAAAGAGATAAATAGGCAGTGGCTTGACAAAATTGCAGGCACCTGTGCTCTCTTCTTTCCCTCCCATTTGAGCCTTTTCCCGGCAGCATCAGGGAGAGTTGCCAATAAAGCAGCAACCTTGACACAGTTGCGGGAGGAGAGTTGAGTTGAGTTGAGTTGAGTTGAGTTGAGTTGAGTTGAGTTGAGTTGAGTTGAGTTGAGTTGAGTTGAGTTGAGTTGAGTTGAGTTGAGTTGAGTTGAGTTGAGTTGAGTTGAGTTGAGTTGAGTTGAGTTGAGTTGAGTTGAGTTGAGTTGAGTTGAGTTGAGTTGAGTTGAGTTGAGTTGAGTTGAGTTGAGTTGAGTTGAGTTGAGTTGAGTTGAGTTGAGTTGAGTTGAGTTGAGTTGAGTTGAGTTGAGTTTTTGGAGCTCTGCAGCCACCAGCAGATGGAGACCTGCAGCAGCCAAAAGACAGAAAGTGTTGTTCCTTCAGAGGGAGTGGAGGGTCCAGAGGGAAAAAAAAAGCATAGAGGCACAGCAAGGCAAAGCACAACATGGAAAGGTGCATGAGCTCTATGTGCTGACCATGAACAGAGAAGGGGGAGGGGGGGAAGGTAGAAGAAATCCCAGAGAGAGGAAAAGAAGACAGAACAAGCTCTGTAAGAAGGAAATATTGAAGCATAATACAGAACTAATAGTACAGAGCATAGTATATAGGTAATTGTAATAGTAATACTATATAGTACAGAGGAAACACTGTAATAGGAATTGTATAGAGGAAACATTGTAATAGAATAGAGGAGAGGATAGAAGTAATAGGAAGTATGTACAGTATGTGTGTTTGTATTACACATCTTTTATAGAATATCTTTGCAAAATAAAAAAGTCTCCCCATCCCTTACAGGGAGATATAAAGAAATCACCTGGTCCGAGGTCCAATGCTTTTGTGTCTCTCTTGAGTCTAGGTCCATCTAATTAGGAATGGTTTAAAAAAGAATCTGTGACACTGCTCTAAGGCAACTGGGGGGCGGGGGGATGTTTTCTAGTGGGGTTCATAACAGCAACAACCTCCATTTAAGGAATAATAGCTTGTTTAAGAAAATAAATGATGATCACTTAAAAAGCCAGCAGTACCTTTGCTTCTCCCAAAAGTGCACTATGAATATAAAGTCTACTTACCCAGGTTTTCCTGGGGGAATCGAGTTGCCTTTTTTATGATCACAGATGCCATGTGATTCTTTAAGCCCTTTGTCAGGGTAATGGATTGAATGAGAACTCAACAGCTGAGATTTAATCCAGACAAGGTAGAGTTAGTGGTTATGGCTAGTTCATCTGAAGTGTTCATCTTGTTCTGGACAAATTTGAACTCTTTAAAAGACTTCTTAGGAATTCTCTTCAGTCCATCATAGTCACTAGATGTTTTGATATAAAAGAATTCCATGATGAATTGTTTTTAATGCCTTTAAGTCCTTCTTGACTCCTGGTGAGTACATGGACAGGTTTTTTGGTAACATTTTCAGAAGTGGTTTGCGCTTGCCTTCTTCCCAGGGCTGAGAGACAGGGACTGGCCCAAGGTCACCCAGCTGGCTTTCTGTCTCAGACAGGACTCGAACTTGTGATGCCCTGGTTTCTACCCCAAACTAGCTCTCACCATTAATCCTAGTGGAAGTAAATTTGGGGTTTCCATTTCTACATTTCTACATTTATTCATGGGTGGGATTTAGATTTAGTCATATATAGACTAGACCCATTGAAATCCATGGTATTATTTATTGATTTATTATAGTAATATAATAAATCTGTTATAATAATTAACACAACTGTATATACATAAAACATATTTATATAATAAATATTGATTTTGTTTGTATATTATTTGTTAATTTTATCATGGCGACTCTTTGAGACTTTTGTTTGCTTGATCAGTATTTTGTATTTTGCACTTTCAGCTCTTTTGGGAATCGTTAAATGTGAGGTATAAATATTCTCATATAAATAGCTTTATACTAGATCATCGCTTCCCAACCTTGATAACTTCCAAATGTGTAATCTTCAGCTCCTAGCATATCTGCCATGGCCATTCTAGTTGGGGATTTTTTTGTTGCTGATTTTGTTCTTTTAACTGGATGTTAGCCAGCCAGAGTCATATGGCAAGTGGGTGGCTGAATGAATGAATGACTGATCCGCATATCTGGAAATTGTCAAGGTCAGGGAGAGTTAGAGCTTTTACCTGCAACTTTTCCTGAAGGGTCACATTGAGATGAGCATAATCTACAGCCCCTTTTTCTCTGCAGATGCCACCATCTTTACACCTCATTTAATATTGGTTTGCACACAGGAGGGACAAATTGCACCTCTCAGCAAAATAGTACTCATTTTATTTTGTGATTCCTATCTTAAAATGCTGCTTCTTGCCTATTTTGCTGTGATTTTTATTTGATTTGGCTTTTCCAATGCTTCCAGGTCATATCATTAGAAACTTTGTCTTAATTAATGCTCCAGGTCAACTGCCATAGGGATTAAAATGTTTTATCTATCTAAATGCTCTTTGAACAAGTAGACTCTGGAGATAGCATTTCTGACTCCAGAAGGCATCTCTCTTTAATAATTCTGCTAATATTTCAGAAGTTGGCTGGAGCTTCTGGCAAATATGCAACCAGTTGATCAAGATGATGTGGTCTGGTGTTAAACCAGAGTTCTATTCCATTACTTGGTTTTTAATGCAAATAATAGTTGCCCACATGATATTTCCACATAAGCTATGAAACAGGACAGGAATATTGTGGGGAGATGGGCAGGGACAAGTCCACTAAATAAATAAAATAAATAAAAAATAAATAAATATGCTACTGAAATGCAATGTGACAGTCTGTGAGTTCTGTATGCACATAATAATATTGATAATAATAGAATATGGTACATATATGTTTGTATAATTGGTACTTGATTAAATACAGTAATATTGGGTTGCTTGGTATGAGATCACACTGTCTGAAGAATGCATGAGACAATGTGCACATGTATGTTGGCAACCTGAATAAAATAGACTAAAGGCTCATCTGTATGTCCTGTTTGTCTCAGCCCAAGGACAGCCCAGTAAGAACAAGAGTGCATGATGTTGTCCTGAAGCCACCCAGCCTGCTGCAAAGGCAACTTCCACCCATCTTTCTTGCTCCATCTTAACAGTAGTGTTTTCCAATTTCTGCTGCATGATGATGCTGTGTGGCCCAGCTGCTGAACTTCATTTTCTTGTAGGCAAATGCCTCCACTCTAATTTTTAAGCAAGTGAATTTTGAAATTCCTCTTTCAATTCAAGTGATAGGAGTATTGCAAAACTGGTTTTTCTTTTTTCTATCCAGGTAGATGGATGGAAAGGTGTCAAGTATGATGAGGGCTTGTACAAAAGGTCTATTGATAGAAACCACATGGTCTTAAAAACCCATGCATAGAAGAAAAGTGGGTGGTGCTTGCTTTCCAAGCACTGGTGGGAAGGTTAAAGAAACAGGACAATCCACCAGTCAGGAGGTATTTAATTGGTAGTGTGCATTTGCCAAAGCTGAAAAACAGATTAAAACCCAACAGCAGTTTTTTAAACTGGCTTCATTTCCAGCCAGTTTCAGCACAAGAGACAAGAGCTTAGGGCTGCTGTGCAGAACAGCCCTAAGCTTGTTCTCTTGACCTTCCATCCTCCAGTTATGTTGACTACAGTTCTCCTAATTCCCTATAGAACTGAATTATGGGAGACATGTACTATATCTGGAAGGCCTGAAGAATAGGAATACTAGTCAAAGCTATTGAGTGGTGAGTAGCAGCAAATGTCAAGTAAGTAGGGAACAAATGTCAAGGATCCCATTTATCAGACACTGCAGAGGAAGCAAATTTTGAAATTAAAAAAAAAATACACCAGTTAAACACACTTTAAAATTAGAATTTTAAAAATAACTAACCTAACTGGATCTAAGGTTATTTCCTAAAATGTCTACCAATGTCTATGAATATTTTAACCTCTTCATTCTTAAGTTTGATGTTACATACTCTTAGTTCAAGCTGGTTAACCTTTCTGCGTTCTGGGAAATTATATGCATTTACTGCAAAGAGATTTCACTGTTATACAGAATCTTAGATATGATAGGATAATGATTTATAAATATAACCTTTTTTAAAAAAAATGATAAATAAGGAGGTAAAAAATTGTGAAAATATAACCATTTTCTTTTTTTTCTTTTTTTTTTTCAGGCTATGCCAGTTATTTCAGAAAAGGCGAAGGCTGGTGAGTGAACGCTAGCATATTTGTTTTGCTCTTCCCCTTCAACTGATTTTGTGGAATATTACCTTATATATCCCTAAAGAAGCAGGCTTGAAGTACAGTTTCATCAGAATTATGAACTTAATTATGATGCAAATTATGAACTTAACAAATATTAAGTACTTGCTATTAATAATCTGCATTTTCATTCCACTGCAGAAAACACTGGTATACATTAGTGGTAAAGATTTCCACAAAGTTTCTAGATCAGTTCTGTTAAAAGATAAGTTTGGCCTGAGGCAATATGGCCAATGTTCAGTCAAAAGTCAAAATCTGATATAATAGACTAGGATCTTGCTTTCTTAACCCTCAAAAACAAAGAAATAATTGTCTTCCGGATCATTTTGTTGTTAGTATCTTTGTCTAGAAAACATGTAATAGCAATTTGGAACACACATGCAGATAGGTGAAAAGGTTCTGACGGATCAGTGTGCATTCTACACATAGTTGGAAATTATATTTTAAAGCCTCTGTATTATTGTAATACATCCTAAATTCTCTCTTTCACTAAGAACTTAGTGTTAGTTTATTATGATGTGTGGCTTTTTAAAAATTATCCAGTTTGGTAGCGTTTTAGATTGCTGCTTTGTAACATATCTCCCACTTGTGATAAACTGTGATTTTGCTACTTCAGTAAAGTGTTGATTGTGCTGAAGAAGGAATAGCCTAGAATGTCTGAATTGTGTGTGCACCCACATACATAAACTCATACACGTACATAGACATGCAATTATAAACAGCTGAAATGAGACAGCAATATTCAGAAACTACACACTGTGATAACTATCTTATTTACCATGACTGACTGATTACAGGCCATCAAGTTGTTTTCAGCTCCTAGCACCCACATACATACATTTTCTCCATGACGATCTATCCCTAACCTGTTCTTTTAAGTCTCCCAACAGAGCACTCATCACCACTGTAACTGAATCCATCCACCTTGCTATTCATCATCCTCTTCTCTTTCCTTCAACCTTTCCCAGCATTAGAGCCTTTTCCAGAGAGCTAGGTCTTCACGTAATGTGTCCGAAGTAGGATAATTTGGGCCTGGTCTTTTGTCCCTCGAGTGAGAACTCTGGATTGATTTGTTCAGTGATCCATCTGTTTGCTTTCTTGGCTATCCAGTATTAATTATTAATATTAAAATTATTAGTTAATAACTGTTGCCATTTACAAAAATTAATTATTTGCAGATAACAGAACCATCTTTGCATCATTTCTGTAACATGGTGTCATATCACGAACACAAGTCTGCCAGATCCTTTCCTGGTATCTACATCCTCCCACTATCTCTGTCTGAGTTCTTTCTCCCAGGTAAAAGAACTTTATCTAAGGCAGGTAAAAAAGATACCACCACCTCTAGCAAGTGGAGAGAAGCCCTTCCCTTTCCCTGTTACTCTGGAATCTGAATGGCATAGATCAGAAGACTACCCTATCCTAGGGCTAAGCATTTAAGTGAATGGTTCCAGTTTTACTCTTTTACTAGGTGATCTGGCTGAAGTACTTTTGGAACATGCAGTGCTAATACAAATTTAACACTGGAGTAACCATGAATAAATAAATGAATAAATGAAACAATTTAAATGTTAATAAATGCAACAAGGTAAATTCTTGATGAATACCATAGCTGAACCAAGTTATAGCAGTCATAGCTCTATGTAGAGAAGTTAGCAATCATTAATCAGCAAACAGTTATGCCAATAGAGATACAGAAATATTTGAGGCCACTCAATATTTGACATTAGTCTGTAGTCAGCTCTGAAATCTTGAGCTACTAATTTTCTGTATCGCCTTTGATTTCCAAGTATTAAAATACAGAGATAATTAAAAGGGGCCTAAACTGTACCAAGCTTCTTCCAGATTACAATCACAACGCCAGACAACATATGATCCAACTGTGCCATAAATTGGTGAGAGGAACTATGAAGTGACTGAGTGATGACAAGATAGGTTGTGCTTCAAGGTGTGAACTCCCAGCAAGAAAGCTTTTAAAAAGTTCCTAGCAACATGCTGTTCCATCAATAAGCTAGATTCATGTTAAAAAAAAAAAAATACCTGCCAGTAAACTAGAAATAATTTTAAACTCTGCTGTAAGGGGAACTCTATTAAGAAAGCACTTTGTATTTTGGCTTCATTTTATATACTCTTTTCTTCTACAAGTCAGCTGGAAGATTGATAATATCAAATGTACTGTGTGACAATAACATTATTAGGTAACAGATATGTGCAAAACTTCAAAGGAATGCTTTGCTTCAATGATGGTTTCATGCAAAGAACCCCTTTGGGTCTCTTTCATAAGCAATGTCCCCGTCTAAGCAAAGTTGCTTCCCTTCATGTTCATCTAAAGCTTTGTTTGGAGTTCCAGTGGCTGGAAGAGTTGATGCAGAGAACCTCAAAGAGAAGAATCACATTTGCCTTTCTGAGGCAAATCATGGCACCTCAATAAGGCAAAGGCCAACCTCTCCCTCCAGACCTGTTAAGACAATATTAATTGACCTGCTCCCTAAAGAACATAAGGAATACCAGTAAGCTAGAGAGAGGGACAAACTGGGGGCAAGGAGATATGTGAAGGTACATAGGATAAAAAGTGCAGGAGGTTCATGTAAGTCGCAGAGTGGTAGGCAATGATCTTACAATATAATATTATACAATATCTCTTACAGTATGACTTCCACAGGAGGAACAACCACTCGTAAAACAGCCATTTATCTTTTAAAAATAAATGCTGCTGATTACTTTCATTTTTTGATAGACAGGAGGTCCTATTTCCAAATAAAGTATTGGGCTGCTCCTCTTATTTACTCCTCCCACCCCACCCATCCATACGGTTTTCTATGAATATCTACAGGGCCTTTGTGGTGGCATTCTCAGGAATAAAAATAACGCTTTGTGGCTTGCCAATTTTCCATTTAATTTTGTAATTACAAATTACAAAAGGTTTTTTCTATAAAGTTATATAGAGTGGAAAGCCGGCTGGTACCAAGAAGAGTGTCTGTGAGCAAATTGATGCCCGGTTATCTACCTGACATAAATGAAACATTCCCTTTCTCTTAGCACAGATAATCTAGACCTTTTGCAGAATCAAGAACCAACTTTATGTCTTTATGTGACATCAGGGCCTGGGTTAGGAGGCATAGTTCTCCTTTTCTTTGGTTTATTAATTCTCTTTATGGATGGCTGGTGTCTGGAAAAATCTTAGATGGAGTGCATATGTTTAAGTAATGCGGTAACACTTAAAAGGATTTTCTGTTCATTGGTATCTGCATGAGATTCAAAATATACACACCTTTTCTTAAAAATGTAACTCTTCCTTGTCACTTTGGTCAAGCTGAGATGCTCAGGGAATGCATGAAGGCTGGATAATTACTGGAAGCAGTTTGGGTTGTTCAACCCTGCATGACGACTCTTAATTCCAATTCTTTTATATGCCCTGACTCCTGTATATTTTGCTTCCAGCTGTATAGTGAACCTGCTAGCTGGGAAATCAGTTTTCCCAGTCAGATAAGTAGCTTCTTTCTTCCATTTCTCTGTAAAAGCAATCCAAGCACTGCTTCCTGAACTGCACGGGTGACTGCCAAACAGCCATTCAGTTTTAATGGACATATTATTCAGTTGCTTTATTGACATTTTTGATCTGGGAGAAAGAGTGATGATGATTGTAGTCCCTGATGGTTAACTTTTCATCTTCAGGAATGTGACAATCCCTTTTGGAAAAAGAGAAGGAAGTTATACTTTTTCTCCTTGGTTCTTCAGTTTAACTGAATCTTGCAAATCTCTTGCAGAGTAAGAGAGCTGCATAATTATGCCCCAAATCTGGGGACAGCCCTACAATTACAGAAGAGTTTCTTCACAGAAGCTTTTAAACAGGATATAGGGACAGGCTATAATATTTATTTAACAATTTGTATTATTCAGAGACCTTCCAATTCCTGATGATTCTGGGAAGCTTACAATTTAAAAAGTAAGAATAGTACAAAAAGAAAAAGAAAAGAAACCATGAATGGCCCAGAGACATATAAACAAAAAACCTATCCAATATAGTCTCAACCATCACGGTGCTGAAGCCTGGGAGAATAGCCAGGTCTTTAATAGTTTGCTGAGGATGGGAGCCCATCCAGATCTTTAGAGGAATATTATTCTGGAGGGCAGGCACCATAACAGAGAAGGCTTAGCTACAAAGCTTCTCTGGACTTAGCTACAAAGGTATAGATGCTGCTCAAAGACTAAGAAGGAATATAAATCTATTCCGATATGTTGCATGCACCATATGTGATTTGCTTTGGAAATGAGTCCAGCTACATGGACAGAACTGTAGAACTCCATAGTTAGACCTTTGGCACTTAAAGACCAGTACTGATAATGATGACTGGCGAGATCTCTCTGTGGTTTCAGAATTGGGCTTTTCCTGCCTTAGGATACTGGGGATTAAACCTGGCACTGTTTGATGCTCTGCAGATGAGATCAGGTCTCCATTTTGGAATAATGCTCTTTGCTGCAGGTAGTTTTAATGTGTTGATTTTTGGGTTAATGGTGGGAAAATTTTCAGATTTTTCCAATACTAAAGGACTATCAATAGTTTCCATAAGAACGTTGTCAATTATGTTGTCTTTTTTAGTTAGGGAAGGCCAATCAACTTTCCATATCAAGTGCATTTAGTCCCCACCTTCCTCAAGATTGTGTTTCCAATTGCATTCTTACATTTGTTATAAATGTATGTGGCCATACATGCCTTGTGTCCTTTTCTGTGAGAGGAAAGACTAAGTAAAAATTGTGAAGCAGCAGCAACTTGTAGCATTGTGCACTGAGAAACATCCCATTTCGCAAATCACAATTCATTAGTACTAGGAACATACTATAATAGTTCAAGGAGGTATTATGTAAAGTATATCTTTAAAAATAAAAAAAATAAATTGACAGCTTGTCTACATTACTGTATCACTTTAAAAGGATACATTTCATAT